TGCCTCAACGGTCTTCTGGTAATCTCCATATCTTCCTTCTTGTAGTCCATGGTAGGCCACGGTTGCCTTCAACCTTGCTCGTTCCGCAAGTAACACCTTGTCTTTGGCGTCTTGTCCAGATGCGGCCTGGTAGTCGTCTGAGTTCAGAGTTCTTACATCAATGAACGCCGTTCCGACTAGATCATAGACTTGATCAACGTCGCTGTCGACCTTCCTCAAGTAGTAGTCAAGTCTGTCATGATACTCTTGCTTGGGGAACAGACCACGTTGGATGGTCTTGATGTATTGTAGTAATGGGAACTCTTTTGTAGAGCCTTGCATCACTATCAAACGGATCCTCTGGAGCATCACAATGGGGTCGAGCTTGACTGCATCCTCATAGTCTGGGAGGCCTCTCAACTTGGACTTCATTGCTTCGGTACAGTATGTCACCTGTATGGTGGTTGCACCAGTCTTGAATGTTCTCATAGGATCGAGTCGACTTGTCGTAGATGGATGACTTTGCCTTGTACTCGCTGAGTTCCAAAGCATCGTACTCTTGCACTTTGGGATCAGCAAGTGATGCCTGAAGTGTCGGCTTCTCCGGCTTGGATGGTGCCTGACTCTTCATGGTCTCAATGGCCAATGAAGCCAGTGGCACATCATTCCACTCAGGCTTGATCCTTAGGTCCTGGACAATGTGTGTCAGGGTCTCCTCAAAAGGATAATACCTGGTGTCAGCCTGTCCATTTGGATGGAAGAGGAACTGACGCTTGGAACTCTTGTTCTGGTTCCTGTAGCTGTTGCCTCTTCCTTGATGGCTTCTTCCTGAGGAATTGAATCCCCTACCCCCCCTAGAAGGGTATCTTCCTCCACCACGACCACCTCTTCCTTGGAATCTCATGGTCTTGCTGGTGTGGTAATGCACTCTTGTGCTTGCTTGTTCCTTGGAACTAGCTTGTGTTCTCGTGGAACTGTTCTTGTGTGGATACTCCTGCAGGAAGGATCTCACGACGGGCACTACTCTTGTAGTTGCCTGTAAAAGCTTCTTGTTGGCTGGATAGCCTTCTTTTCGTGCACTCTTGGTGTACTGGCTGAATAGCCTCTGTCTGTGACAGCTCACGTAGTTCTGTGGAACTCGTGGTGTTCTTGTATGGGACCTTGGGTAGTAGCGAACTGCCTCTGTTGGTCCCTTCGGTGCCTCTGTTCTTCTGTAGATGGCCTTCGTATACTTAGATGAGTACACGGTGTGAGTTTCAATAGCTGGAACAGTTCTCGAGAGGAGTTGAAGGAGTTTTAAAGCTCTGTGTCGTTACCGGGATTTTTGTCTTTCACTTCACAATAGCGGTGGATCACTCGGATCAACCTATCTCACTCAATATCGGGAGTTAGAAGCGTGCACTGATACTCAGAGTATCCTTGTTGTGTTGCGCAACTTTCTCTCTATTGGTGTTTTGGCTTGCAGAGCTCCGTTCGGACGATAGCTTGATCGGTAGATGTTGCCTGTCGCTCACCGTGATATGACGGATCAAAATCTCGCGCGATGACACGATGACGTAATCGACTGTAACTCACTGGATAAGAGACGGATTTCCTTTCTTCCAGCACGTAATCTGTGTAGCTTGTTCTCCTTGATCAGCTGGTGTACGTGGATCTTTCCAGTTCCGGCCGGAAACTGTTGATCGATCGTATCGTACCTTGTATGCGTGTGAAGATGGGAATTCCCGCTCACGCACCTCAGTCCTGTTAGAGCCTTTTGGTATCCTTTATAGTGTAGCTAGAGGCTGATTCTGCGCACCTCTTCTCTGTTGCAGGTGTTGGCTCACTTGATACTTCTTGGTATTATATACTTCAGGTCAACTTGATGATATCAATCTCGAGGTGTTGACTGTCGAACTCGAGATGAGACTTTTGCTTTTCAGTGTTGTTTGCTAGTAATACTGCAGCTTATTGGGGAGTAATTTGGTTTTAGATTAAGCTGAAAAGCAAAAGTGATCTTTCTGCTGGGTTGCAGGTTTATTCTTCAAGTTGAATGGATATAAGCTGCACGCAATACTTTTGACCTAAAACTCCCTCGGTTCCTTGCATCATGAATATGCATGCGAACCGGACTAGATGTTTAATACACGAGTCAATAGTAAAGAGGTGTCAGGTATTTTTCCTCCAACAGATCCTTCACTACTGGATTCCTCATCACTGTCAGTTTCATCCGAATCCTTGTCTGTGGCTTCCTGATCCTCGTCCTCCGCATCTACCTCTTCTCTGCCTTCCCTAATACCGTCACTTTGGTTGCCAATTTGTGCATCCGCTGCCTGTTTTCTATCATCCTCGTCGTCATCCTCATCTTCGTCGTCCTCATCCTCATCTTCAGAACCAGTACGATCAACATTCACGGGGTCCCATTCCATTGGATCATCTTCCTCTTGCATCTGTTGTGGAATGTCCTGACTGGATTCTTCCTCTTCCTGTGTTGTTGGTGTTGGTGCCCTTGCGGGCCTCCCGGTGTCAGTAGCACCTAGATCTGCAGCCCTTGCCCTGGATCTACTCCTTCTTGTTAGTCCAGTGTCAATGCCCAGCACTCTGTTCCGTGCCTCAATACAAGGTTGATAGGCTTGTATGTGACTTGATAGAGCTCTCTGTTTCTTAAACCAATCATCACAGTACTCACAATGATACCAAACCATTTGTAGATAGGTACAAATCAACTGGTAGCTTGCAGACGTTACTTTTTAGCATATAGAACGTTCTAGACACCGTCAAAAATGTGGCTTCTGAGGTTCCAATTGACAGTTTCTGGGCTCTGGAGTGGCTCGATCTTATAAAATGAGATTGTACTTAGCAATCCGTAAACTCGTCCTGCTGCATTCTGTATGTAGTTTTCCTCCTAAATACATACGCATACCTAAGTAACCGAAAGGGCACAACTGGGTTGGCAAGGTCGTGGCTGTATGTTATCATGCATGCTACCTTACAAATCAGGAGCTCGTCGGATCCGGTTGGATGACCTCACCTTCCGAAACTGCTGAATTACTACCAAAGCTTTAACCAGCAACGTCTCGATTTTATATGCCAAACACATGGAATGGTATGGTAGGGGTGCTCCCGTTTTCGCGCTACCTAAAAATGCGCTTCTTAGATGAATATGCCACTCCAAGAATTCTTTCCTCGCGTTGCTTCCAGTGGGCCTTTATTTTATCTTCCCACAGTGCCTCGTGCATCTCTCGTGGGTGGAAACGGGCTAGTTTCAGACCCTTGTGCAGAAAGATGATGCGCTCGTGCATGAACGGGAGATTAGGGCACGGGTTCGAATGGTCCTGGGTCCATTGGGATTTGGCAGCAGTATCCATTTCAATGTTGAGTATTGCCCAACGATCGAAGCAGCCGTGGTACATTCTGGTTCCTTGCAACATGTCCCTGGGGAGAATGTGGAGTGCTCGGGGACTGTCATCTTGGTGTCCCTTGACCCAGCGGAACTGAACGTCGATTACCTGTTCCCTGATCTCATCGATAACAGCGCGGCCCTCAACACGGAGGTCAAAATCGAAGAGGGTTTCAAGGGCGTTGAGGGCTGCTTGTCCATCACAACCAATCGTGATGCATCCCATGGAGATGTCATGTAGGATGCAAATTGTTCGCATCACAATGAGTGCCCCAATGATGCCTGTCAATTCACTGCAATCGGAAGAATGGTCTCCTGGGGAACCCGGGACAGAGAACTGGCCGTTGATGTGGCCTGGAAGGCCCAGAAGGAACGAACGACTGGTGGAAAATCTGGTCTTCACTTTGATATGTTTAAGGCCCAGGCACGAGACCCTGAACTTGCACACCAGCGACAGGTTGATGTCACAGGCATTGACAACCACGAGATGAATGGCCTAAAGATCATTGACGGCATTGGTAAAGTTACCTCCCATCATGGTCCCATCATTGTTGTGCTACGCCAGCATGCCTACCATGGTATCAACCGTACCATCCATGCTTCTGGTCAGATCGAGTACTACAAGAACTGAGTAGATGATCGATCTCTCCTCTGTGGTGGTAGGCAATGCATCCACACTAACGATGGCTTCATCATTCCCTTAGACATCATCAATGGACTCCCATACATGAAGATGTGCCCTCCATCTGACAAAGAACTTGATACACTCACCCATGTCATTCAGACCTCTGGTGAGTTATGGGATCCTAAGGTTCTCGACTTCAGGCACAGTGACCATGATGACTGGTATAACCATATCAAGCTCGAAGCTGATGCACCGCCCAGCTATGCTTTTGATTCACAAGGGCATTACAAACACCGTGAACCGCATCACGCACCGACCATTGAAGTAATCACCCCACTTAACGAGAATCTACTGAACATCAACCATGCTACCTTTCTCGAAGCCTACAAGATTGTCTCCAACCTCAACCAACCGTGCATCCTCGCAGAATCTGTCTATTCTGCATTTGATACCGATACCGTCCCATCTAAGGACCACATCATCATTCCTGCCACCGAGTCCACTCCTAAGCCACCAGACTACCAAAAGTACAGCCCATTCTTTCTCCATGTTCCCGTTGAGAAGATTCGCCGTACCTTTGAACGGACTACCCAACACGCATCCAATATCCAAGCCGGCCATCACATCAAGCAGACCATTAAGTCACCTTTCCCGGCCCATAATGTATGGCGATGCAACGAACCCGTTGCTACGGATACTATCTTTGCGGACACACTCGCCATTTGCACCGGAGGTCAAATGATGGCACAGATCTTCATTGGGCGTAAATCACTTGTCATCGATGTGTTCGGTATGTCTTCCACTGCGGATTTTGTCAACACCCTTGAGGATGTCATACGAACAAGGGGAGCAATGGACAAGCTCATCTCGGATGGACACTCAGCACAAACTTCCGCGCGAGTAAAAGAGATACTTCGTGCACTATGCATTGACGATTGGCAATCTGAACCCCACTACCAGCATCAAAACTTCGCAGAACACAGATGGAAGCATCTTAAACGCAACCACAACTGGTTCATGAACTGGCGAAACGTTGATCCCGAAGCTTGGCTACTGTGCATGCAATGGATTGGTGATGTTATGAATCATACAGCAGAAAAATCAACTGGATGGAGACCACCACTTGAAGTTCGTACTGGACAAACCGTGGACATCAGCATTCTGCTTGTATTCCTGTTCTGGGATGTTGTTTATGTTCCGCGATACAAGGATCAAGGGTACAATGCCCAACCAGGACACGACAAGTCTTCAGAGATTCGTGGACGTTTCGTTGGGTTCGCCTGGAATGTTGGACACCAACTTACCTTCAAGACCACTCCAGAAGAACCTACACCAATTGACGAACCACCTCTCAGGGAAATACCCCAAGTAGAGACAGTCAACGACGATGATGACAACATTGCAAGCCATCAGAAGGACGAGCCCGAGAAAGGATCATCTAACACAGAGAAACCATTCATCTTCAAGAAACGACAAATGAAGACTGACAATCCCACCGAATCAGGACTACCTCCTGAACAGATGATCGAAAGAACATTTCTCATGCCGCCTGCAGAAGATGGAACTTGAGTAAGAGCCAAGATCCTTGAAAGAGTCAAACACCACAAGGAGAAGGTTCAGCAACATCCCGATATGATCAAGTTCAAATGCAGAGTCAATGACGAGTACGAGGAGATCGTAGCCTACAACGACATCATAGACTACATTGAACAAGATCAGACTTGGAATGGCACTTGGAAGTTCCGCAAGATCTTGGATCACCAAGGTCCCATCAAGTCATCTGATAAGGAACGATACAAGGGGTCATGATACAACGTCCAAGTTGAATGGGAAACTGGGGAGATCACTTGGGAGCCTCTCACCACCAAAGACAAGATGGGAGTACATGAGTCTGATCCAGTCACGGTCGCCACTTATGCTGAAGAGCACGGTCTACTAGACACAGTTGGATGGAATTTACCTGGACTCAAGAAGATCACAAAAACTCAAATGCAACTCGTACGAGCGGCTAACCAAGCAAAGCTTCACTCCTTCAGGACCAAGCCCGTATTCATGTACGGATTCCAAGTTCCGCGCAACCACAACCAAGCCATGGAACTAGATGCACGGAATGGAGACACCAAATGGAGAGATGCCGAGATGACCGAACTCAACCAGATTGATGAGTACGAGACCTTCATCAACAAAGGAAAGGGACATAACCCTGGACCAGATTGGAAGAAGATCCAGGTACACATGGTGTATGCAGTCAAGCACGATGGACGACACAAAGCACGGCTTGTCGCTGGAGCACCAATAGACTCCGTCTATTCCAGTGTGGTTTCACTACGTGGAATTCGCATTCTCACATTCCTCGCAGAACTCAACGATTGTGAGGTATGGGCAACAGACATAGGAAATGCCTACTTGGAATCGTTTACAAAAGAGAAGGTGTACATTGTTGTCGGACCTGAGTTTGGAGACCGTGAAGTCTGGATCAATGAGGTGGGAGAGACCTTGGGATTTGAGCGTGTTGAGGAAGTTCTTCTTCCATTTGATGAAAGAGGATTCGTCGCAAAACTCCTTGAACTCTGACCGAACGGGCTTTTTGTACAATGAGATCAGTGATGAGCCGTACACTGAGCAACAGGGAGCACGTTTCTTGGAACGCTCAATCTCCAAGGCATCAAATCTCGCCCCCGTACGGCGTCTTGCTTTGCAGACCAAGAAAAATGCAGGAGACACCACCAAGTACTCGCTCGAAGAGTACAGGGCAGCCCTTCTCGAGCAAGCACAACTGCATTACAGCGCAAATCATGCAACGTCTACATGCTCTCGTAGCAATGCTCGCCGCTGTACCCACCAACACGAAATTATCTTCGACGATGGTACCGCGGAGACCTACTTTTTCACGGGAAGCCGAACACTGAAGCGCTTCTCCTCTGAATCTGTCACTACAAGAACAACAACACTAATAGCAACAAACACAACCAATCGGTCATACCTATACCATTACACTACCTATCAGCACCATTAGAAGCATTGAAACGAAGCGAAAGGACCTCAGGAAGCCTGTTTTCTGCTATCTTGTTGAAGAGTACTGTTTTACTATAGGAATCCACTCAACATCATGACGGAAAACAAACCTCCCTTTTCCCTCTCTTTGCAACCCATTCAAGCCGAAAGGATGGATACCTCCTATCTCCTACTCCCCCGCACCTCTCCTATCAAGCGACTATCAAAGCAGCGTTCTCCGGTTCAGATTAGAAAGCCATCCCCATTGAAATCCTACGAGTGCTAACGAGGAGTTTTCTCCCACGACTCAGAAGACCAGTGACTCACTCCAGTCGGAGGTCAAGGGATAGAGTTCATGAGTACCGGAAGAGTGCGCATAGTCTGCGCAGCATATTCCACACTGTGGTCCACAATGGATGCACCGTGGTCCCATTTAGTACTCATGTCTCGATCCTACCCGAGTCGAATAGGCGCCATGTTTGAACCAAAAGCCGATGCCGGCTTGCGCTGTTCCGTTTCTATCAGTCCAAATCTTGACAACGAAACCCAATAGACTTGATAGATCGTAATGCTCATAATATTCTCTTTTACTGTTTGCCATTGCACATCTTCCAAAGGTCTAGTCCAAGCTAACAACGCCAACCCAAGGAAGGGAGATTATCACTTACGAAATAGGATTTCAGCAGATTAACATTCGCAGTTACGTCCCTACACAACTGCACAATCATGTCCGCCGCTGCCCGTCGAACCGCTGATCGCGACAAGCTCAAGCATGTCGTGACCGTCATGCTCAACAATGTCGAGACCAACTGGGAAACTCACAATGTCATGCTTGCCCTCACTAACTTTGGAGTCGATACTTTCTCGGACCTCATGATAATGGAACGCAAAGACATTGAGTCTCTCGTGGTTCCAGTCGCTGGAACCGTTGCAGAACACCCTCTTGGATTCAGTCAACGGCGACAACGCCTTGCTGCGATTTGCTGCTTTCATCATTTCTGTCGAGAGCAAACCAAATCCATCAACGTCACGTCAATCAGTTTCGCTAACTTCCAACGATTCCGCATCGTACGATGGGATCCATCAGCGGAAGTGGTCCCGTGGCTCACGACACGAGCTCCTGTATCCGCCGAAGCAGAGATTGAACACTGGAACAAGTCGGTAAAGATCTCTCGCAGCGACTACAAGGAAAACCCGTGATGAAGCGTACTGGCACAAGTGGAGTGAAGATTTCCTACTCACTGTAAAGTCTCACCGTTTGTCTCACCTACTCGAAAAAGGATACATACCGGAGAACCCGCCACTCGATTTCATCCAATGCGAATGGATGTACTAGACACCCTGTGACACGATCAAGACTGCAGCTGGAAAATCTCACGCAACACCTCAAGGACAGCGAAACTCGTCTCTTCTGGGAAAAGATGTCCAATCACTACAAGACATCGATGACGGCGACCATTCGTTCCTCCAAGACCTTGACCTATCTGACTACTGCAAATTTATCAGACGGATCGTGGCGTGGAAGTCAGCAGAACTTCATTCTAAACTTCAAAGAACAAGATCGAATCTACAACGATACCTCTGTGCACAACAAGTACTCCGATGGGCAACTCGTACAATTCCTTGAACAAGCTGTCTCTAGCGTCCCAAACCTATCCGGTGCACGATGCGTGGATATGCTTGCACGTGCCGCAGCCAAGAATGCGGACACATACACTTTTGAGGATTGCACTGCAAGCCTACTCTCACTTACAGCTATCTATGATGCAGCTCACTCTGGTACATCACGATCCAGAGGAAACTCACGACGAAGCTCATACAATCATGAGCTCATCTTCGAATAAGACGATGAGAACCATGGATACGAATCTCATGTACACGACTTTGACACGACCGTCGATGAACTACTTGAGGTCCATCAATCAGACCGTTGTCGCAACTCTCCATTTGATCGTCCTTCCCAAGGCCCTCGCAAAGTCATGATGAATGTGGCAACGTGGAAGTCTCTCACGCCTACTGGCCGGAAAGCGTGGGATACACTATCCGATGATGGCAAGAATGAAAATTTTGGAATACGCAGCTGATCGTGCGAAACGAAACACACAAACTAATCAATCTGGCTCACGCAATTTTGGATTCCGACGCGACACATGCTCAGCAAACGTACATGACGTCATCGAGGAATCCCGGATCTTTGAATCCGATCACGACGATAAGCCAGCCCTGGAAGTTTCGTCTCACACCTTGGATGAGAAGAAGAACAAAGTATCTTTGGACACGGACCTTTTGCATCTTGCCACACATGTTGTCCAAGACTCGACTACGGTTCCTGACCTTCTGTCAGGCAACATTGCTAATGTTCTATCTCAACCTTCGTCTCGCAACGTTTCCTTTAGCAATGAAGTACGATACCATGAGCTTGACGAAATTGACCGATCGGCATACCAATCATACTCCCATGAGATGCACGCCGACGACGTTGATGACGGATTCAAAACTGATAGTGAAGACGATGCTGCATCACAGCTATCCTTGAAGCTTGACACCGACTACTGGGATGAGTCTATTCCATTTGATCCCAACGCATTTGGATCCCCGACCTTGGCTCCGTTCGACCCGATGTCGCCCCAGTAACAAGGTACTCAGAGCTTACCTCCAACACCTCAGACAGCTTCCGTGAACCCCCAGCTAGTGACTACGACTACCGAACCTTCACCTGCTGGCACTGATGCCATCTGTACTCACATGAACCCTCCATTTCACCAAGTACAAATCCCTGTTCCCATGAAGCAGCGACTCTGGGCGCAACTCAACACCGCAGCGTACCTTCGAAACAACAACACAGAACGCTCAGAACGTCATGTCAGGACATCACATTCAGCAGACTATTCGTTCTTCTTTTCCGGCACACAATGTGTGGCGCAGAAATGAACCTGTCGCTACTGACACCATTACTGGTGCCGTTCCTGCCATTTGTTGTGGACATAAGTATGCACAGATTTTCGTTGGTCGGAAATCGCTTGTCATCAATGTATTTGGGATGTCTACCTCCTCACAGTTTGTCAACACCTTGGAGGACGTCATCCAAATAAGGGGAGCAATGGACACGCTTATCTCCGACAGTGCAGCATTGGAAATCTCAGACCGTGTCAAAGAACTTTTGCGCGCACTCTGCATCGATTCTTGGCAGAGCGAACGTAACTACCAACATCAAAACTTCGCGGAACACCGATGGAAACATGCCAAACGCAACCTGCAGTGGATCATGAACCATCGCAACGTCGACGGTGAAGCTTGGCTACTGTGTCTGGAATGGGTCGGTGACGTCATGAACCTCACCGCAGAGAAATCCATCGGATGGAGAACACTGCTGGAGGTACTCACTGGCCAGACACAAGATATCAGCATACTACTGTCGTTCATATTCTGGGATGTTGTCTACGTACCACGGTACCACGGCAAACACAATTCCAACATGCCAGGGGAGCAAAAGTCCTCCGAAATACAAGGCAGCTTTGTCTGCTTCACCAAACACGTTGGACATGCCCTTACCTTCAAGATACTCACGGATGATACGCGTCGCATCATCCATCGATCACGAGTTTGACTCGCAAAGGAAGGTGTGAACAACCTCAAACTCGATGTGGAAGCAGGTGCTGTTCCCGAACACATCTACATGAGCTCGAAGCTGGCAAAGTCTTAAGGTCAACTCAAGACGGGTTTCAAGGTAGTTTGGGTGCGAATAGCAGGTGCTATCAGGTGCAATAGGTACAATCCTTTGTCCTGGTCAACAGGTACACTTATTTGTTATGCTAAACTAAGAATTGTGAGCACACAGGGCTCCTGAAGTCAAATACAGTGGCACATTTCGAAGGCCGCGAAATGGGACTTCCTACAGACCGTAAACGGACTTCCAGCCACTTCTGTGCATATAAACTTATCCAGGACCTCACCTGACCACCAAACATTGATACATAGGACATTCATAGTCCAGGACTTCATAATGTCATCAAACATATAGTAATCATGCTTGTCCCAAGACCTCATAGTATCTTCCATCATCTAGGAGTCTTGCCCAAAATACTTATGAGTATGCCCAAAGATACTTATGAGTCATGCCTATAACTTAAGACTTAGAGCACAGGCCAACCATACAATACCCAGAGTGAAACACTTCCAGGCAGCACACTTGTTCCAGGGACAGACAAGCTGGAAACCAGCACTACTGTGTAAACACACAAAGACAGACACAGTGGGAAGCCAGCAGTAATGTTTTACATCATGTGGCTCCAATCCAACTCCTGTCACTCCCCTTGGGTTGGTGCACAAACACAGAGACAAACATACAGGGGTAAGGTGGGCTCTTCAACATCAAATCGCCCGTAAATACCTGCTTGCAGAGCCGGTACATCTTGTGGGGTCCAAGAGGCTTGGTCCCCATATCCGCGAGGTTCCATCCTGATGCGATCTTCCCAACCCTGGCAACACCTATGGCAACAGCTTCCCTGCACTTGTGGTAGGCACAGGCATGGTGCTTCTTCTTGAGGGAGGAGGACGGCAATGTAGGTTGTTGACAACTGACATGTTGTCAACCAAGATGGAGGTTGGGTTCCTCACTTCAACTCCCAACATTCTGGCCTTGTACCTCATGGCAAGGGCAGCCTCAACTCCAATCCTTGCTGTGACCAACTCAGCCCCATAGGTGGAGCACTAATGGTGGCCAACCTCTTGGAGTAGGACTTGGTGGGCATTTGTCCAAAGAAAGCAATGTAGGAAGCCACACTGGAATGTCAATCTTTTTTGATGCATGGCTAGCATCCACCATGATGACTTGGGTGATCTCAGGGACAAGGGGCTCAGGGCCATCTGGGTCAATGGGCTCCATGAGTCAGGGTACAACCGGTCAATCATTGTCTTCAGAGAACTGGAAACCCCTAGGACGTGCTGGGGAAGGGTTGGCAGCAAGCCTAAGCTTGGGCCTGAACTTGAGGTACCCATACACCCTCAGCAAACGGGCCTCATGACCTCCCTGGGCTCTCCTACCATACCTAGCCATGAATTGACAGTGTACTGGATGTCAATTCTCCCCAGTGTAACTGCCCACTGACCACAACCAACTAACATCTGGTACTGGGTAACTCTGGTGCTGTCCAAGTAGGGGACTCATCCAATCTCGGGGTGATCTTCTGGTTCCATGGGGGATCCATAGTTTTTCAATGTGATCTTGTAGAGTGCTTCAACTTGGGGATCAAGTTCTCCATGTAGGTCTTGGCAGAGAACTCCCAGAGTCATGTCTCAGGGTTGAAGGTAAGTCTCCTCCACTGTAGTACTCAGGGGTGCTACTCCTTTCATCTCAAAGTGTTAGATGTCCTTGAGGGGTTCAATCACTTGGTGAGGGGCCTTGGAGACACAGAACATCATCAACAATGACCCCAACATACTCATATGTGGTTCACTTTGTTCCTCATCCAAATGTTGCTATAAGCTCTGGAAGGGTTGAAGCCCACTGGATGAGTGTGTCTGCAAGCGTCTGCCACCACATGGCACCAGAGACCTTGAGCCCGTACAAGCCCTATGACGATGCACATGGACCCCAGCTAGGTTCCCCTTCATCTCCAGGGGTCACACAGATCTTTTCAAATGTGAGGGACATCAGGTAGGCATAACCCAACATCCCCTGCAATACCTCTAGCTTCATCAATGCAGCAATGACAAACACAATCCTGATGTTCTCGAGATAAACAACCCCAAGAGTAGAGGTCATATGGTGGGTCCTCAGTCATATGGCCACCCTGCAACACACTTGGCTCGGTGCCTCCCATCAAACTTCACAGAGAAGAGCCAGAGCAACTTGATCTACTGGTACTCCAATGGTCACCTCCCCTGGTTTGGTTTTCTTGAAGCAGGGGAACTTATTCTTGAGTGTGTCCACCTCAAATTCAATGGCATCGGTCACAATGAGTTGCCATTGATCTCAACCAGCTTGTAAGCCTCTGTCTTGGTCCTTGGAACCCTTACTCCAAACTCATATCTGACAGCACCACCAGTCCTCTTCTTCATTTGCCTCCATTGCTTTCTGAGCCTGATGAACCTTCTTTCTGTTCTTCAGATACTTGTGGGCCCATTTCCACCTGGACTCATGGACAATGCTTTGAGGGGCGCATACTCTGCAAGGACTGTTGGGCTGTCCTTCCTGATCAATTCCATGGGTTCCCAGGTAGCCTCATCCTCAGGGAAACCACTCCACTTGACCTTGACATCGATCTTTCCTTGTCTACCAGGTTGTTTGGACCATTTGTGGTCTAGGATCTTATCAAAATCCCAGTACTCTGCATCAGCATCATCTGACCTAGTTAGCATCTTCACGATCTCTTCATACTCATAGATCTTCTGCTTCCCACCCTTGAATTCCACCCTTGCTTGGGTGGTACCATCCTCATCATTGTAGACAATAAGTTTCTTGAAGGTTCAGTTCCAATACTCAAGTAGTGGACTGGGCCTCGCTGAAACCCTTCCTCAGGGACAGCGGTAGTCAGGCAGGTTGGGAGCCTTGTCGTGCCTCAGGAGTGTTCCACACCTCCAGTATGCACCAAACCAAGGACTTGGTCCTGTCAGTCAGACAGGAGGGCCAGCAGAGCTCTCTGCTGGGCCCTTTTTGGCCAGCTCTCCTCAGGAGCTGGGGGCCTTCGTTATTCAATCGTGGCAGTGGCAGTCTGGGAACAGTACTTTCTGCTACCCCTAATGCTTCTGCCCGGCCTCACAAGGATTCGTATCAACTGCTGCGGTATCAAAGGGGCAACAAGCTAATCAGGATCGGTCCAAATCTTTCGTACTATTTTTCTTAACTATGGTAAGAAAGGACGATCCTTTCTTGCTGCTTTGCTGGAGATAAGCCAGCTGCGCATGCTGGAGTTGAAGGCCAGCATAGCTGTTGAAGCTATCTCTGACGGGATCCAAAGCTCTCGCTCCTAAAAGTTATCGCTCACCACGAGTGGGTATGGATCCGCTCTCATGGGAATGCCACGATATACGACTAGTTACTAACTAACTATCTAAAAACTCTCCCCATGAATGGAACATCCATGGGCCACTCACCATCGACTGCTAGTGGAACACAAAGTGCAAGATGGGGGATTTCAACTGTGGAGGGACTTGCACATGGTTGGTTGTTTGCTGGACCAAAGGTAGTCAAAGGGGGTGCCTGCTTCATCAGCATGTCCAGACTAGGTAGGTGTCGGCGGTGCGTGTTGCTATCATAGCTGTTTTTTGTTTTCTTCATATGTAGATGCGACAATACCATTGTGAATTGACTAGTCTAGGGATCTAAGAGATGTAAAGTTGTATTTCCAAATAAGTGAGCAGTTATTGATTATTTTCTAGAATAAAGCTGCTAATGTAAAAAGCTGTAAAGCTGAATTGTAAGCTGTAATCCGTCGACTCCCCTACAGCTGAAATGAAGCTAGAGCAAGAAACGATAGGAGAAGAGTCCCAAGAAAAGTGCTGAGGTAAATAACCATCCCATGAGGAGCTTCCGAATGAACGCAAACTGTGGAACCGGAAGACCCTTAGTGAAAATGTCGGCCCGTTGTTCCAGAGTCGGAATATACTTAACCACGATGCCCTTCGACTCCCCAATATTGGACCTGGAGAAGTGGTACTTCAATGCCAAATACTTGTTGCGCGCAGAAATTTTGGGAACCATTTCAACAGAGACAGGCAACCTTGTTGTCTTCGAACACTGTAGAGCGCACGAGACTGTCAGTAAATACCGGCATATTCAGTTGCACCAATTTCTTGAGCAAAGCTCGCATAGGAAGCAGCTCCCTCATTGACAAGCTGAAGGCAACATACTCAGCAGCATGGGAGCTCAAAGTAATATCAGTCTGTAGCTTGCCGGACCAGAATAATAAGGCACCCAAACAGAGTCAGGACAAATCCAGTGCGAGAATTGACGGACACAGGATCCTGTTCATCCTCATATCCATCAAATCCGGCGAAGTCAGCATCGACCCAACAGTCAAGTCCCTGATCAAAGTTTAGGGCTAAAACAAATGCCTTTGTCACTTGTGCCAATCAGATACCGAATGATAAGTTTGATTGCTTGAGCATGGGAATGCCTGGGATGGTGACTGAATCGTGCCACCTGGTGCAACATAAATGTATGCCTGGGCGAGTGTTTGACGAAATATAAAGAAGCATCCAACTGCAGCTGGATAGCTCCACTCTTCCTCAAATGGGGCCCCCAGTTTGTCAGCTCCGAGAGGATCGGTTGCGGCAGGAGAAAGCTTCTTGCTAGCCGCAGACATACCAGTATATTCGATGACTTTAATGATGAGCCCCTTTTGCGTAAGCTCAACATTGTCCCCCTGTCTTTCAAAATTAATGCCGAAGAATCCAAAGATGTCACTTTTTCTTCCATGGTAAGGTCATATCCAAGTTTCTGGAGCTTGCCCAACATAGGACTCAATCAGATCATTGTCTGGACTGAGCCAGAATTGGTCATCACAATAATTTAATACCATGAGTTGATGCTCCTTATGAATAAACAACATGGGTCTGCTGCCGAGGTTCCGAAACCAAGTTGGATCATCCCGCGACATAGATTCTCATAAAATAATTTAGGTGAATCGGTCCTCCCATAGATGGACTTGTCAAAAAGTTTCAAAACACAGTCCTTCCCTTCATAATCTTTGGGTCGATAGTACTGAGGTAAGTCCATGTACAGTGGCTGGTCGAGAGGCTGAGGGCTTTGACAGAAAGGAAGAGTAAAATAAACTTGTCTCGATTCCCATCCATGTGCAGCTGCAAGAAGAAGACCGGCTCTAACGGTGGGCCAAACCACAAGTGGAGAGTACGCGACGCCTTCAAGGACTGAAGTCTCCTCTGCAGCACCATCTAGATTTGAACTTATTTAATTGTACGTCTGGTAACATCTTAATTCGTTGCACCCATGTTCCAAGAACCGCCTTTAGGTGTGAGGGCATAGAAGAACGCTGAAACGAGTTGCCAAGTCCCTTGCTTCAAGGCGGCAATTTCTTTGTCCCATTGCTGCCAGAAATGGTCTGCATGTTGTCCCATCAGAGATTCTTTCAGAGAGGGGAGATCAGGGTCTTTGGAAATTTTGGCCTTGAGAGCCAGTTGGCTTTGAAGAATGCCAGGATGAAATGATTACTGGGTGTTGGTCAAAGGTGAATAACTATTCACCTGAGATTGCATCATGTGCCCAGAAAATGGATAACTCCAAAGGCAAAGCTAAAAGCCAAACTCAACAGGGATGAAGGACGCTCATATGTCTTCAACTTTGGGTCCATGATTTCAGAGTCTCAGGCTTCTGCTGTGGGCTGTTCTACTGGGATTACGACGAGGGGACAGAGATTGGCTCGATGTGGACATCAGTGGTGGGAGTGCTGAGTGGGAGGCTCCCTTGTCCAAGAAAGGGTAAATTTTGAGTCTGAAGTGGTGGCAGACGATCTGAATCTCCCTGTGTGAAACCTGGGGCTGTGCTGGAGACGGAGCTTGAAAATGAAGATCATCCCTTTTATCTTTGCTCTTGTCATCCTGCCATAATTTTCTCCCATGTCGAAGCTTCTGAAAGATGAGATCGGTGCTGGTTGTATGGCCTTTTCCTCTGGAGTAAGCCACTCGTCTGCTAAGGAGGTGGAGTGTCCTCATCAAATAGGGTCTCGAAGCGTTGAAGATGCACATGTTGGTCCTCTAGAGGTGGTTGATCTTCTGAAGAGTAAACTGTCTCAAACCAATCATCGTAGACAAGATGGTACTGAGGGGAAAGGTATCCGGTTGTAAGGTGCGGATCAAGCCAATATTTCTGAATGGACAGGTGAGGTGCCAACTATTGTCCTCTCCTGGACCTGGGCTGCCATTTTGGAATCTTTCCTCCTTCACTGGTAAGCCGGGGTTCCAAAACATATGCAGGGCATCCCCATGGATGGCATTTCTGATGACCTGACCATCACTGACAGTTCTGGAAAATATCTCAATGGGAGCAATGCCAGTAACTGAATCGAGTGTGGTTGTAAAGGTGAGCTGCATGAGAGACTGCCAAGGGCCACAGGGATTCATCATCAACTTCCGGCCATAGAAG